GTCCCCAGGCCGACGGGCCGGGCGGGTCGCGCGGCCGCTGCTGGCCTACGCCCCTCTCCGGGCGTGCATACGCACCCAGGGGTCCCACCCCATCCCCAGAAAGCACCGTCACAGCCTGGCACTTGGCTAAAAGCGGAGTCCCACGGCCAAAGCTCGACTGGGGCCTGGGAGGTGGAAGCAGGCTCTCTGCGGGGCTGTCAACCTCCTGGGTTGGAACTCCTGGGAAGCGGGGCTGCAACTAGCCCGGAGCCTCTCACCTGTTGATCTGGATAGCTCTGGGCTCACCTTGTTGATGGCTTTGGGTGTGGAGTCAGGCTGACCCCGACTCCCCTCTCTGGGCCTTAGTATTGACCCCCTTACAACCGAGCTGCTGTCGAGAGTGTGAACGAGGCTAAGTGTGTGGCTGGATCCCACGCCTTCATTTCTGTTCCCCTCTTCTTCGTGTGAGAAGACGCTGGAAAACACTTTGCTGACCAGGAAAAACTCCAAATGGCAGAGAGGTGGGCAGGGTAGAGTGGGAAGAACCTTCAGTGGGCTTGAGGCCTCCCCCTGTGTGGGTCCTTGAGCAGGGCAGCCGCCCTCTCTGGGCACAGGTCTCTGAACCTGTAGACATGGAATCAAGGGTCCTACTGCCCTCTCCTCGGTCCCGGCATCCCTCCCATTCACTGGAGCGCTTCATCTCTCCTCTTCCAGCTCCCACTGCTTGCAAGAGAGGCTTTGGCAGGATGCAGATCTGCCACTACCACGTCCACCAACTCTTTCCATGTCCCCCCTCCCCAGTGCCCTTCACCACCACTTCCCCCACAAAGCAGTCCTGGGGGCTTGTGGTGTGACCCCGAGGAGTATCATGGACATGGTCTGAGGGAGTGCAGCATATGACTGGCTTGCTGTGAATCTGCAGGTAAGAAAACACACAACACACACACACACACACACACACACACACACACACACACATGCACGCACACACGCCACAGTAGGGCTAGGCTTGTGGCTCAGCTGGTAGGGTGCTTGCCTAGAACACACAAAAGCCTAGGTTCAATCCCTAGCACCACATAAAAACCTCATATAAGGCCTGGTGAGATGGATCGGCCAGTAAAGTCACGTGATAACCAGCTTGACAACCTGAGCTCAGTCCCCAGAACCCACGTGCTATGGCATGTGTTCACAACGTAAATAAAAAACAAAACAAAGCTGGGTGTTGGTGGTGTGTACCTATAATCCCTGCATTTGGAAGGTGGAGGCAAGATCAGGAGTTAAGACCGCATAGTGACTGGGCTAAATGTCACACACACACACACACACACACACACACACACACACACTATTGTGTGACAAAACTTTTCCTGGGGAGATGAAACACACTCCTCTACTCACAGATAGGGAGCCCACCACAGACCAAAGTATGGATATCACCAAAGTCCAATTGGTGAAGGAGTGAGTTTTATTGGGGTCACTTACAGGAGCAGAAATGACTCAGCCAGCTGCATCCCCAGCGCTCACCCCAACTCCGGGGACAGCTCACACAGCTGGGAACCTGGAGCTCACTGCACAGCCTGCAGGCGGCTCCACGGGGGGGCGGGGGGGGGCCGGGGGGGGGCGTCCTTTCCAGGGGCCTCAGTTGTCCAAGCCTCTTCCAGGCAGCTCTTCTGGTTTGAGTCTTCTAATACACAACACACACACACACACACACACACACACACACACACACACACATCGTGTTAGCCCAAGGCCCAGCCCCAATCTGACTGCACTGACCTGCTAGTAGACATGATGAGGTGTGCGTGGGGGGGGGGGGTTCCCAGTCCAGAGCAGAGAGTGAGGAGGTGGGACCCTGTGTAGCAAGGATTCCCACGTGACAGGGAGCTTTCCCACAATGAAAGCCACAGGCTTGCGCATCTGCGGGAGGGTTGCACACCCATTGCGTGCTGGACCTCATCAGGTGTGCTGGGCAGCTTCTCCCAGTTCAGCCTTCAAGCCTGTGGGGCAGGCAATGGAGCCTGAGGTCAGTGAAGTGAGAGATGCCTGAGGTCAGTGAAGTGAGAGACGCATGACCGCATGACCTGACCGTGGCCCTCTGAGAAGATAAATGATCCTCAGCCCTCTCTGTCCCCTGCTTTCATTCCACCCTGCCTAGATGCCTTCCCGAAGTCGATGCCCAGAGAAGGCAGTGGCTATTTAAATCCCTCAGGTGAGGCTACCCAACCTGCTGGCATCTCCTTCCAGCACCCACGTCCTGCTCAAGCCAGAGAGAAGTGTGTGTAACACATCTGTCCTCTTGGGAAGCAACCCAGCTGTCCATGGGGCCTGGGGGCTGGGATGGGGCTGTGTCTTCAGCTTCCTGTAATTCCTTCCAGGAGACCTTGGCAGGGGAGACTGGCCAAGGCCAGCAGGCCTGAGAAGTGGACACTGTGGTGCCAAATGGGAAAGGTTGAGAAGCCGCAGGCCTTGTCCTGGGCCTGCCACTGTGGCCGTGAGCCTTATGCACGCCTCTTCTCTGGGCCTCAGCTCGCCTGTCTGTTAAATGGGTCTTCCTGAGGCTCCTGCGAAATGAATGCTAAGTCTGCCTTTCACAAATGGGGAAATGGGTGGTCCGAGTTGTTTGTGCCAGCAGCCTGCATCAGCATCCTTTCCCCCAGGACTCTCCAGCCTATCCCCTGCCTCCAGCCGCCTGCACCATCATCGTTCCCCATCAGTCCCTGGCACCGTCCCTGGTGAGTGGGAAAGAGTGCCTCACCCTCCATGCCTCAGTTTCCACACACCACCCCCCCCAAAAAAAATATACTTGCTAAGGTGAAGCCAAGAGGGAAATTTCCCTCAGCTCAAAGGGTGAATAGTGTTCCTTCTCATTACCAGAGAACCTTGTGTGTTCAAGGTCAAGTTGTGGGAGAGAGACTGAGGATCACTCAATTATAGAAAAAAAGATACACAGGCATAGTCCCATAATAATGTTTTCCTTATTTCCCCCTTACTGACCTCCGTGCCTTGTTAGATTTCACCATTGTGTGGGCTGACTACCCAGCAGAGTCCCAGAAAGCAGGGAGACTCTATTCTATGGGCTACTGAGACTCACTAAGGGGGTCCCAGGCCCCTGGGGCATGGCCTCAAACAGCCAGCCAGGGTTCTCTCCCTGTAACCTGGCCTCAAGTGTCCCAAAAGTTCAATCCCTGGCAGGTTCAGAGCTGGTGGCATTTTACAGATCAGACAGCCAAGGTTGTGAAACCTCCTTTCCACGTTTAGTGCCAAGTGTATTTATTGAAGACCAGCTGTGTGCCAGGCGCCCTGAGGACTGAAAAAAAATCAATGCAGCCTGCAGGATTTCTTTGGGTGCCCAGCGTGGAGGAAGGGACTATTCACAAACAGGGCAAGACCCAGGGGATGGAGTAAGAAGCCTCCTTAGAGGAAGTTGCGAGCAGGGTTGTAATTAAGGAAAGTGTCAGGGCGAGTGAGCTTTGAGATGGAGTTTGCCTCAAGAACAAAACCTGAAGAGAGGGCTCCAGGAAGTAAAGACCTTGTCTAAGGACAAGAAGATAGGCTGGGGCCCACTGTTTCAATGCGTCCTGTCTGCCGTGCTTCTAAAAGGATGTCAGCAAACGGAACTTGAAACACAGATGAACTTCAGGCTAGGCAGATGAGCTGGGAGTCTTGGGCTTCATCAGCCGGGGAGCTACCCATTTTAAACTATTGACTCTCTCACGTCCATAACCTGTGTGGGTTTTTTTGGTTTTTTGTTTATTTGGTTATTTGTCTGTTTTGTTTTGTTTTAAACTGACTTGGGGGATGGTCACAGGGCCAAACAAAGTTAGCAAAGTGTCTAAAGCGCCTTGCATAGAACAGGTAAAGTTCACGCGCCAGTTCCTCGATCCCCCTTTGCAGGAAACTGAGGCCCAAAGAGGGCCCGAAAAGCGGACCTGAGAGGAAACACGGAACCCGTGCCGCTTCAGAGGGCAATTCCCGGTAAGCAGCGCCTTCCTGGCGCGTTAGATTTTTGCCGCTGGAAGTGCTCGGAATTGACCGTGCGGGGGTGACATGGGTTTACGCACTTCACGGAGCCGTGCTTCTAAGGTGTGTGCGCTACGCTGGGAGCGTTACTCTAGGGACGGGTGTCGTTTTCTGAGACCCCAAACGCCGCGGTCCTCTCGGCTGCTCCAGCCTGGTACCGCGAGTCGTGAGCTGGGCCTGGCCCGGGCGGGGTTCCCACGGCAACCGCAAAGCCGCTCCCCGCGTCTCCCGAGTGACGAGGCGCGAGCCAAGACCCGGAGCCTGGATTTCTGGAGCCGAACCACGGAGCGAGGCTGGAGAGAGATCGCGGCTGGCCAAGAGAGGAGGGGAGCGACGCTGCCTTTCGTCCTTGCGCTGGCGTTCCCGAGGGCATCCGGCAAACGCCACTCCCACTCACCCCGGCCTCAGTGTGGTCACCAGCTGCGGCCCGGCCGGATACCCGCCTGGGGATTCCTTCCCTGCTTTCCAGGTGGGGAGACCGAGGGCTGGGCTGCACCCCAGTGTCACTGGGTGAAGTGGGCAAAGCCGGGACCTACTCTTGGTGGCATCCCGACCGAGAACTGTGCAGAACCACGAGCATCTCCTCGGTTGGAGACCAGCCCAGTTAGTAACCCGCTGTGTGGTCTCGAAGTCCCCACTCCTCTCCAGGGCTAGGAGATGGGACATTGCCACCAATGTCTCAGAGAAGCTCTCACCAAGTGTGGGGAATAGTCACCAAGTTTAAAAGAAGGTGTCGAACTGCAAAGTGCCTCGCACATGCCAAGGGCCATCTCCGTGTCGGCTCTGGTCCCGTCTGTCACTCCAGCCCCAAGGGCAGTCTCTGTGACAGCCAGCTGCACCCTGAAGTTGGGTCTCAGAACCTTCCATGCCTAGAGGTTCCAAGCCTGCAGGTGAGTCCACCCTTACCTTTTTTCTCCCCATGGACAGAGCCCAGGGCAGTTCTCCTTAAGACTCTGTGTGCCCCAGATGTAGAGGGGTTCACAGAGGCATGGCCTTCCACCTACTCACCCACCTGTCCCCCTCAGCTGTGACTGAACAGATCAAGCGCCTTACTCATTGAGGTTGTCTGAAGCCCAGGACCTGGCCCCTGGACAGAGCCCATCTGGCACCCCAATGTCCTTTGAGAGCCACGTGCTGGGCATGTGTTTGGATGGATGTATCTGTGAGCCTGTGTGTGTGTGTGTGTGTGTGTGTGTGTGTGTGTGTGTGTGTGTGTACACGCGTGTGCGTGCCCGTGTGCACGTGTGTGTTGGGGGGATGTATACATGGGTGTGTGTCTGTGAGCCTGGCATGGCAGGCCTTCGTGTGTGTGCACTTTGGTTGGATGTGTGAGTCTGTATATGTGAATGTGTGTATTTATGGCTGTGTGGAGTGTCATGTGGTATGTGTTGTTCATTCCTGGCATATGTGTTTACCGGGCATCTCCGTGTGTCTTTCTGGTGCGGATGCCTATCTCGATAGGCTTGTGTGGGCTGTGCTCATGGTGTGCTGGAGTGACTGTGTGTGGCTGCCTTGATCTTAAGTGCTGTGTGTCTGGGAGTGGTGTGGGGGTGTGCCGAGGGTCTTGGGAGTACAGGCTTCTCCCTCCCTTCTCTGCTCACCTGGTGACCTTCTTCCCCAGCTAAGGACTGTGGCGAAGCCACTGGGCAAGCAAAGGCCACCTCCTGCTCCCTCCACAGACCTGTGGCTGCTCAGGTCTGTGGCCACAGTTGCCGCCCGCCCGCCCCGAGGCTAGGTTGGATGGGTGAGCCTGGGGCCAGGGCTCATGTGACACCCCTCACTGCCTTGCCTCCTCCCCTCCCCACAGCAGGAGCAGCAGCAGGAAAGGTTGGCGGAGGGGGGCTATTTTGGGAGCATCTCCTTAGCAACAGCTGCCACTGCCGTCTGTGGCGGTTTTTCTATAGGTGCTAAAATATTCCACCCTGGTGACTGAGTGCTGGGCGGTGGGTGAGGATGGGGATTGAGGGTGGGAGAGACCCCTCCAGGCTTCCATCCCAAGGGCTAGCATGCTGGCATGATGGACCCCTAACAGCCCTTTTCCTCACTCCGGACCTCTTCTCTTGGAGCTGACAGGACTGTGGAGCTTTGAGGCAGGCCAACTGTGTCTTGATCTGATGTCTCATCTAAACAGCTGGTGGCCTCAGTTTGCCTCATCTGTGGAATAGGCTGGCTGGATTCTCAGAAACTTTCTAAGCTCAAAAGAAAACAAACAAAAAAAAACCACCTCTGGAATCAGTAATACTGATATTTCTGAGTGCACTCCAAACCCCACCTGTCCCCACCTGTCAGCCCCTCCTCCCCTTCACCCTTCCCAGATCTATGCACAGGCCTGAGCAGGCTCCCAGAGTGGGCGGGTAAGTGAGCCAGCCCTCTGCCAACCTGGAATGATCCTTCCTTAGGACCTAGGCAGGCGCCAAACCCAGCTCCAGGCCTGGCATCTGCATTTGTTCATGCCCACTGAGCCAAGGCAAGCCACGTCCTCTCTGTACCTCAGTCTGTCTCTGCACCTGGAACTGAGTCCAAACCTCTGCTTCACAGAGTTGTGGGGGTCAAATGGGGGCCGCGGCACAATGAACAGACGGACACCCTTCGGCATGACACTTGTTTTTCCAGACGGTTGTCCCTGGTGCTGAAGCTATGCGTTCAACACAATGCTGTGCCTCAGTCTCCCCACTGGAACGGTACCTGAAGTATAGAGTTCGTGTAGAGATTGAGGCAGTGCTTCTAAGGACCCGGAACAGTGCTGGGCTGATGGGATGAGTCTGTGGAGTCTCGGACTGCCCCATCCCGCCCACCCCGTCAGGGCTACCCTATCATGCTTCTGTATTGGCTGAAGAGAAGTCCATTGCCTTTCAGGGCTACAGAAGACTGTCCCATTACAGATGAGGCCTCTGAAGTTGGTCCAGAAAAGATAAACAACTTATCAAGGGACACACAGGTCCTAACACCCAAACCGTTCTCCTTTCTTTCTCCAAGACCCCTTACACACACTTACGCACACATGCATGTACACACACACTGGCATATCAAATGAGGCGTAAGCTACTGGACCATGACATGGCCTGTGGCTAGGTCTTCTGGAAGCATTCATTCATTCTCAGAACAACTGCTTACAGTGGGAAGAGTCTTATTCTTCCCACTTAATACAGGGAGACCCAGAGCAAAGAGACTCCCTGCCCAGTGGCACTTGGGTGTTTATTTGATGGTGAAAAGAGGACTGTGTTTCCTGGGGTCCCTGGACCTCTCCTGGCTTGGAGATGCCCTATCTCTTGCTCCCTAGGTCTAGCCCTGCGGCTTTCCGGGGACTCAGCAGTTGCCCCATAGTGCAGTCCAAACCCATCCAGGGGGCCCCATCCCTCCCTCAGACTTTTCTTGCCTAGTGACCTGGTGAGGGACACATAGCCCCCAAGAGCAGCTGTGATGGGATCTAGGGACCCCTGATTCTGTCTCCCTCTCCTTTCTGCTCTCTCTTTCTCCTGCGCTCACCCCTCCCGGGGCAGCCAGCCACCAGGGGAGGAAACTGCAGGTTACCAGTTGTCCCCGCATCCTGCTGCTTTCAGTCCACACAGAGGTGCAGTAGATCCCAGACATCTGTCAGCTGCTAAGTGAACACTTATTTTGCTGGAAGACGGGCGTCTATGCATCAACACACACACATGCCAGGGAACATTAGTCCTGGCTATCTGCCCGAGGGCACAGCAGGGTAAGGAGAGAGAATGGCAAAGAGAACAGACACTGTGCACAGTGAAGGTCCACAGTGCTGAGGATGGCACCCAGGAGACAGCATGGGCACCTGCTGCTGGCACCCACCTACCTTCAACAGCCTGCGCACAGGGTCTGTTAGCGCTCACAGTTTGTGGACAGGCTAAACAGAATCTCACTCAAGGTCATTACAGTTTCTAAGTGCTTTCAAAGCCAGGTTGGTCTGATTTCCAAGCTTATTCATTTAGAACCCTGCTTGTGCCCAGCCCAGGGGCTGGTGATAGGTGGGTCCCCAGTGCTGGCTGATGGAGTGAATGGGTCCTGCCTTACTTGTGTCTTGGGAAGTGGTGCTGAGGCTGGGCTTGGAGAACAGCCGAAAGGCTCTGAAGGCAGAGAAGACCAGGGGCATTTCAGGCAGGGGGGGAACACAGCACGCAGGCAGAGAGAGGTGTGAAGGCATCTGGTACGTTCTGGAATCCGTGGGAATCGGAGGACATGTGTGAATATATGGTGTGCGGGAGCCGACAGCGTACGTACCACACCGAGGAGTTGAGGCGGGGAGAGCCCACAGAAAGACGGTTGTGTGGCCTGTGTCTTGTCCTGGGAGGTCTGCTTGGTGTAGGAGGTCAGAGATTGGAGACAGTTCTCCACAAGCGTGTTGTGCCCCGCCACCGGTCAGGTCTTCCTCTCTAATCTGGACCTAGTCCTCCATGACCAGACTCCAGCAGGTTCAAACGGCTATCTGCCTGCAAGTGTTCTAGACTCCTCCGGCCACAGAGAAGCACTGTCCTCTCGTGTTTCCTCAGAAGGCTAGATCAAGGTGGTAAATGCTCAGGAGAGTGGGTGACTGGCTCCCCAGGGACTGGGAGGTGCTTCCAGAGTGTGGGACCCAGACCTGGGCTCTCTGGAGGTGGTTGGGGGAGGAGGGTCTGGATCCTTGCCTATCAAGACAGCTTAACAAGGGCTGGAGAGGAGGCTCCATACAGGTTTGCTCCACACAGGTTAGCCGAGGACCCAAGTTGGGTTCCCAGCACCCATATGCCAGCCACAACTGCCTATAATTCCAGTTCCAGGGGAGCTGACAATCTCTCCTGGCATTCACAGGCACCTGCACACACATGGTGCACATATAGTCACACGGGCCCCCACCTACACACACACACACACACACACACACACACACACACACAGAGAGGCACCTGCACTCACATGGTGCACATACACACACACACACACACACACACACACACAGAGGCACCTGCACTCATGTGATGCACACACACACACACACATACACTCACACAGGCACCTGCACTCACATGGTACACACACACACACACACAGAGGCACCTGCACTCACATGGTGCACACACACAGGCACTGGCACTCACGTGGTGCACATACACACACATACACTCACACAGGCACCTGCACTCATGTGGTGCACACACACACACATGCACAGGCATTTGCACTCGCGTGGTGCACATACACTCCACAAGGGCACCTGCACACACGTGGTGCGTGCGCACACACACACAGACACACAAACACATTCACATAAATAAAAAAGAAAAGACAGCTCAATACGATGAAGAAGAAGAAAACAGGGACGAGGGTTTGTTTGACTTCCACCCCACTGGATGACCTTTTGCGAACTTAGGGGCCTCTGTGGGTCCTCAGTCTTACTAAGTGACTCTTAGGATCACTCCAAGAGCGACCTCGATCTCCTCAAGTGGGCACGGTGCTTAGGGCCCTTAGTTGCCAGCGCTTCGGGAGGGAATACAGACCTCCCAGGAGAGGGTCAGGGCCAACTGGACCCCAACTGGACCGGTTCCCACCTACCCCTCTCCTGGGCTCGGAGAACCCTCCCCACCTGCCCCCGGGGGCCTCGCAAACCCGGGAGCGGATCCTCGGAACGGATTCCGGGAGGAGCGCGGCAGAGTGAGGAGGAAAACCCGGGCAGGATCCGGGCGAAAACGGGACGGCGCAGCCCCCCAGACCCCTGCCCGAGTCGCGGGTCCCGGGAGCGAGTGGCTTGCCCGCGTGGGCTGGGCGCACCCGGAGGGCCAGGGCGGGGTCCGCCTGGG